TAATTTCACATAGTACAGTGTGCTTTTTGTTTTTCCCATTTCACAAAATAAAATTTGGCATTTTTGTTAATATTTTGAAATTGACCACTTCTGGGGGAGAAAGGCTTTAATATTAAACTCACCACATAGGTTATCCCCCATTTTAATATACAGGTATCCATTATCACCAAAGCTGGATCCCCATGAATTTCTCACAATCCAGTACCAGATGTACCCTTGAAAATAGGAAAGAAGTTATGAAGAGTTCAACAAAACGAAAGCAACTTATTTCTCGGGTATAATGCTGAGCTGAGTTTTGCTTTACAAAGAAATAGTTATAATAAAAAAAACAATCTTGATCTTCAGTCACTCACTATTTAAAATAAAAAGGCATTTTCTTTTACTTTAAAACAACAAAGGAATGAGTGCACTAATTAATGGCATGGCCTTCAACACAACTGATGCATAAATGGACAAAATTGCTGAATTAGTAACAAGCACACTGCAAATTAGTGCTATCCATTCAGTTAAAGGAAAATAAGTCTCCTTTGAAAGTGACAACACCCAGGTCTTACCATTAAAGTCATATCCAGTGATTTGAACGGCGTGGTTAATATCAGTATCTGTACAGTGGTGCTGTATGATACCACCTGACAAGATTAATAAGAAAATGATCATTTGTATAAGCAGGTCTTAGCCTAGGTCACCATGGGGGTGGGGGTATAATCCTGAGAAATTCAGGTTGGGGTGTGTGGCCTGGAACCCCGCCTGTAATAATCTCAGACTAGCCTGGATAGCAAATGTTTCTGTCCTGTTTAGGAGCAAAGAACAAGGAATGAGAGTCAAAGACTGAGGGAAAAATGGCTCTTGTTTCATTTCTTGCGCTGCCAAAACTGAGAATCCCGTTCTTCAGTCTTTCTTTAATCTGAAAACCAAACGGAAACACTTGCTACCGAGGCTAATCTAAGACCGAAATATGTGTCCCTACCACTATGAAGAGCCATTGCCAAGGGGCAAAATAATAAAAACAACCAAAGAAAACAATAATTAAAAAGTACAATTCAGTAGTGTGGTGATGTGGCAGCCTCATCTTTGGTAGAAATAAAGTATCTAAGAGGCTGTGGCCCCTCAGGCCTCCGTTTTGGTCAAAAAAGGAGTACATTGAACTGCTAACAATGATCACCTTATATTATATTAATATTCATCTTGAAGTGAAGTTTTAATAGACATTGGTTTGGAAAAAACTCATTACAACTAAATGTAACTAAAAAATGGAATGTGCATGTAAACTGCAAGAATATCAGTACTCACCAAGGTAGTCATGCCACATGGTGGCATCCACATTAACAGCCAAAGGACCATGCAGCCCAACTAACTGTTTCATATTAGGGTCCTCAGTCTTACTACCGTATATCAAAAAGAGAAATATATACAGCAAAGTCATTCAAAAGGAAAGCACGACTTATTGAAAAAAGACTTGGCCAGATTGATTATGAAGTATTTCTATGACACAATGTGGCACGCTATTTCAAGTGGCCCTGTCAGGACAAAATTGTGACTTAGCGTCATGACCTTGAAACAGCAACAGAAGACAGATTAAATGGTGAAAAACAATAAAAGATAGGCTAAAACTGCGACAGAGATGAGAACAATCGCAAACAAAGTTGAAAATGTCCATTTGGGAACACCTCTCCTAGGCAGCAATGGACCACCACCCAAAACGTTCCCTGTCAAAGCCTCGAGAGTTGTAAACTCTTGTAAACTACCACCTCTTATAACAGGGACATTGCTTGCACCTCAATATATATGACCAATGGTTTGAAATTCAGACTTGCCCCCTCCCCCCGGCCCCTGTCTCCCCTAAGAGGGACTCTAGGAAGAGCTTCTCTCCACTACTTGTACAAAGAAATTTAAAAATACATGTATCCTAAAAGTAATCCTATTAACTGATCTTCTTCACATTAAATTTATTACATGCCTGGATTTTGATGTCCAAACAATATTTTCAACTGTATACAAACAATACTTTCAGATCCCTGGGGATAATACTGCCACTAGTCCAGTTATTTATCGTGGCCCCTGAATAGAAGCATTGGAGGCTCATTTATACAGGGTTAGCCTCAACCTAAATTCAATTATTACAACTAGTATTTTCCAGTGCTTCTGGAACAGTTGCCACAACCATGATATTAATATATGGTGTGATGACCAATAGGGGTGTTAAATAATATTTCAGTTATAAGTAGTATTGAAGCCCCCTCGCCTATGATGACAGATCTTTGAACATTTCTTTTTTGAAATTACTGGAAAGTTAATGCATCCTATGCATATTAAATAAGGCTGCAAATTGGACATTGTAGTTATGTAAATGCATCAAAAAATACAAATATCTCAGTCTCTAAATACTAAAGCGTTTATTTATTTGAAACATACAATAAAGGCTTGGACTATATTAATAGAGAGGATAAGGTCAATCAAACTCACTTTAAGAACCACAAAGACTAAATAATATTACATTTTGTTAGTATATTAATCAACATGAAGGAA